TTATTTTTGGCCAATATTTGTTAGTTTTCGTCTATTTTTGTCATTAAGTCATAATACATAACTGCATTCTATTTCCGGCACATGATGTGTAATAACTACTTTACAGATGCATCTCAATTTTTGCTGCGGTGAGGGCTTCTTAACTGTTCTCAGAGCATAATTTTTTTTTTGAAGTCGCTATGCATAACCCATTTTCATATTCTATGCTCATCCAGTTCAAAAATGGGTTGGTTTTCTTGCCCCTCAAAAAAAAGGTCTGTTGCCTATCAATTTTCTCCGACATTTACACGTCACTCATAAATTTATAGGCACTGCTAAGAATCGAAAGCTGCTTTCATCCTATCGAAACGTTCAAGTTGTTTTAGCCAAGTTTCGAATTTGGTCTCTCCAGTCGTTTGATGGTTTTTCGCTCTCAATGAAATTTCGTCGCGACCTGTCCTAGGGTTTTGGAATTTCAAGGTGTTTATGTGAAACTCCAATCAAACTCCCACATACATATTAACTTCACTGGAGCAGCTATAGTTTCTTGCTTATTACCGTCCTTTTCATTCGTGAGTAAGATGGCTAGTATCACCATGTTTTTGTTTCAACCTTCTGCTTGTTGCTGTCTGGTAAATAATAAGGCGTGCTAGCGCAATGATTATAAGCGCTCTGAAATATTTCTGTGCTCAGTCTCTGCTATCGACCGCTCTTCTACAGACCGGCTCAAAACGATATAATATGATCAGGATATGACTTGTTTTGAGCCGATAGTTCTAGTGCTATATAGGCGCCTATTTCTTCCTATTGGAACTCATCAGCAGCACCATCCCTGGCTTCCGTCGATCCCTTGAGGCTAAATAATCCTCTAGAGGAATCGACTAACGGCTCAAAGCAACTCATATCCTTATCAAATTATATCGTCTTGAGCGGGTCTGTAAAATAGCAGTCGATGGCAGCGATATGATTCATTATAAAAGCCGCAAGCTCGGCTGCCGGTTCCCACAACGTTAAGTAATATCCTCATCCGACTTGGGGTGAATATTTTTTACTCGGCGTCGATTCCTTTAAAGGATTATATGGCCTCAAGGGATCGACGGAACCGAGGGAGGGTGCTACTGATGAGTCCCAATAGAACGAAATAGGCGCATATATAGCACTAGACCAATCGGCTCAAAAAAAGTCATGTCCTTATGTGTTCAGCGGTTCGATTCCTCCACCCTCGCAAATCAGCGCTCACTTTACCGACAGTAAATTGATGGTAGACTTGAGGAGATAGATTCAGTGACTTGATAGATCGCTGAGCCCTTACGTCATTGCATAAGCTAGGTGTTTATACACCCAATACTTTTTTTTGCTATGCTTAATGGAGTCAGGTGAATGACATTAAGCAGGTGATTCAGACCAAAACCCTTATAATTTCTTCCGTCATAATTGCGCATTTTCAAAATGCTAGCTTTTTATCATTGCCAATGATTTTTTCGTTAAATCCTAGCAAATTTGTAACAAATTCCTCTATGGCTTTGAGGATATCTTTCCTAGATGCCATTTCATACCAATACTTCATAAACAGCTTTCTCTTTGGAAATAGTAATCAAACGGAAAATGTAATTCTACTTCATGTGTTCTTTCCGCACTGATGGCATACTTGGTGATGTCATTGTTTCTCGAGAAAGAAATCTTGCTCGTTCAATAGTATCGTTACTAGAAATGCGAGTTTGAAAAAGGATGAAGAAAAAGTCGACAACTTGTGTGCTTTGAAAACTTCACAATTCTACCGTGGTAGGATGAGATTCATGTGTTATGACGGCAAGAATCTATGAGATTTACGTCTTTTTAAGGTAGTTCACAAACTTCACTGTGCATTAATTTATATAAGCTTGACTTTAAACAGCAGAATTATTAATCTCGGATTGATATTGCAGTGTTTGTAGCGCAAGGGAAAGAGAACTACTCCGTTGATGCACACTTGATTTGATCTCACGCCTTTGGTATGTTATGCTCTTCATCTCTCCGGGACCGACATAGTGGTAGCAGATTTAATTTGAAGGGTGACAACAGTGCATAGTTCGAATGTGGATCCGCCCACCTCTGCTTCATCAAGTCTAAATCATGATGGTCCACCCTTAGGAACTGATTAGCGACTGGAGCCTTTATCGTTCTAGCACTGAAACTAGTGCACATGACAAAAATTCCTCCATCACCAACAAGCTAAAACTACTGCCTTGAGTCAACAACGCCCTTCGTATGTAACAAATTGACTACTTTACCAATTATATTGATGCGGGAGGTGCGCTATGAGTACCTAGATCTTTGCCCGATGGTATTCGCTTGAACAATTCAGTGGAGAGCTTATAAAACGCTGAATATTATATATCTAAGAACAACTTATGTGCTTGATGCGGTTGGAACCTGGGCCTGCTTAATTTTTCTAATGAATCGGTGGAGCTATTTGGCTGACTGGGTTGTGGATAACCTGATATTCCCAGGCTCTAAAGATGGCGAAACCTCGGAAACGTCAGCTGTTTTAATATATGATCTTACTAAAACCCTCCGGTTTGGCTCAAAGAAAAACAAGGAATTACTTGACTAAGTGCTTGGTTAACATCAGTAAATGTATTTATTGGACTTGTGTGTATATATGCCCGAGTGTGTGCGTGTGTTATTCCAGTGATGGCGTCATGGCACAAGCTCGCAGGCCGACAAAGGGGCGGAGTGTGCAGCTCGTACGTTGACGTCATGTCATCTGAAAGATGTTTACCGACGACGATATCTCAGTCGGCGACGTCTTCTACGTCATTCCATATTCACTGGGTCGTCTGGCTCTCATCACTGAGTAGTAGCTGAGGTGTCTAATTTCGTTCTGCACAAACTTTTTTTCCAATCACATTGGTGTAGCAGCAGTTCTTGAGAGTTCCTTCGTTTTTTATTGCGTTTTGGGACATCTTACTGCGAAAAAGAATTATATATGCATAATGGCTGTCAGCTTAAACGGATTTAGATCCGTCAAGGGTTGGATAGTGCTGGCTACAATAGAGATATATCAAAGAAGAGTGGGGGTAGAGCGGTGGCCTCGGTGTTACATCCGTAGCACGTGCTCACGGTATGGGTGAAGCGCAGGTTTGACTCCCGTCTGAAGTCAAAACTTGCTTACCATTCAGTTCTCTTACGCACATCCCACTAATGTTTAGAAAGTGGCTTTTTTGCGAGGTGAGGTAGCCCAAGCCACGTCAGATCTGATAACCTAACTCACAAAATGCTCGTCGATTCCTCTATCGTGGAACCCCTTTTATAAAAGTCTGCTAAAGGAGGTTAAGATTCAAATACCATTTGGAAGTGTTATAACGTTTATAGAAAAGCATTCTACTATATATTAAGCAAATTAGATGATATTCAATCGAATTAGACATCAAAGAAAATCATTAATGACTAACTGGGCCAACATTTTAATACGCTTGTTCGTTCTGTTGGAAAAGCTTAACTTACGCGGAGCATTCTTTTTTGCTTCTAAAATCAATATAATAAAACTCGAACATTCCAGTTATGCAGCGTTTAGAAGAAATTCGCAATACTGGCATTGGTCGAATTTCCCACCTTAACCCGTTTATCTCTTAGAAGTGCCGTTAAGTTTCGTCTGCTCCATATCTCGTTTTCCATTCCCTTTTCTGAATTAGTGTTGTCGAATATTTGTTTTGGGGAAGATCATGTGAAAAATTCCTCAAAACATTCTTCATCAACGGTGGCTCACCATTCGCTGTTTTTTTGTGGTGAACAAACCTAGAAGTTTTGATATGAAGTTTATTTCAGCAGGTGAACGTCACGCTGGTTTTGCCTTCCCCTGAGCCTTGTAAGGTCATTCTAAGTGCATTTTAACCAGCCGGGTACCTCATCTCTCTTGAAAAAAAGCCACGCCACCGAAACTTTATTTGTACTGATGTCATTGCGACTTTTTTTTTGTGCTTTCACCGTTATTCTTTTGAGTCTTTTACTGAATATGCCAAGAGGAACAGTATAAATTATTAATTTCACGTGTACTCTGTGGAAGAGTCATGTAAGATCACGACTGTGTGAAAAGCTGTTTTTTTGCCAGTGGGACTGAAAGCTAAGTTATGCGGCTTTTCAGTTGAGGTTATAGAAGCAAGTGACTGACTATGTTGCTCTGAATCTGACGTGCCATGCTCCGAAGAAGGTGAAGCCGCCGTAATGTCAGCTGTTCAAATAAAGTGTATGATAAAAGCCTCGCGATTTGCTTACTGCAGAACTTAGCGATGTTGATCAATGACAGTGTTATTAGTTGATGGCTCATTATTCAACACCACCTCCTATGATGTATTGTCTGCAATGCATGCCTGGACGAGGCATAGTGAACGAAGTGCATTGTAGCCAATGCATTCTTTCCCACTGATGTGTCTGCACGGGGCTTTTATGCCACACTTTTTGTATTCAGCCATTAACGTATCCAACACTGATGTAATGTCAGGCATTTCACTTGAAAATCTATTTTCCGCACTTGATAATTTACGATAACATACAAATGAGCGCAGTTCGCGGCGAAGGGCTGATGTTCGTGACGAAAACAGCCACACAGAGCAATGTTTGCGAGGGTAAAAAACTCATTGCTTGAACAGTGGACTTTCACACTTAGGAACGCCTTATCGATATGATGAAATGATGAATTGTCTAGGAGGATTCGTGATGTTGGTTGAGAGCTCACTAAGTCACATGTTCCTCAGTTTGCGTCAACTCCGTAAATTCCTTTATTGATGTGCTACCATAAGGTTGTTGTGAAGGTCTTATATGCCTAAATACTAGCCGTCTCCAAGCCTTCGCGCTCTACAGAATCCGCTCTTGATATATAATCCTTCATAGTTACATTGACTGAGGTCCAATGGAGTCGAATTTCGCTTGAATCAATTATTAGCACTGTCGATAATCAATCAGAATTCATTTTATTAGACCGCTTCTTGCGGTAGTATAATGTCACAGTATACCCATAATATAGAGTTGTGTGCAGGAACTTTTGCGTCAGATGGCATTCGAACCAACATTTCACCATATCAGATGGCGCGTGCTGAACCGTTGCACTACCGACGTCCGTTTTGAGGTTTTTGCACACTATATCATCTGGTATTAGCAGTGTCTTGAACCAACTGAGTCATAGTGTTCATCCTGAGAAACGAATTTTGCGAACTGCGTTAGAAATAAAACATTTAGATGAGTTGCAATACAACCACGAGTATGCTGGAATACGAGCAAAACAGGAAACCTTAACAGACTTCGAACACGAGGCTACACTCTTTGGATCCCCTATACTATGCGCTGCACCATTGAGACCCTTTTGTTGTTGGCTATCCTCCTACCGTATCTTGGCCTTGTCGGCCAAGATGAAGTCAAAGCGAGAACTTTGATGATGAAGTAGGAACGCAAGATTCCGAAAATGACAATTGGGGTTCGCTGACGATTTGAGACTTCAAAATTTACTCATATTTCATCGTTACTGTGGCTATATTTTATATTGTATTTCTCCGTAGAAATGAATAGTTAGCAAATAAGTCAAAACAATTTGTAACCTTTGCAAACAATCCTTGATATTTTCGCCACCAATAGCATTCCAACAATCGTAATACACGTCACTTTAACCCATATTTTCCTGATTAGCTGCGCCGACAATAACTTGATATAGCCTTCTAAAACCGTTGACTCGTTCTTTGCCCAATGGAACCGCTTTCTCTGATAGGAACTCAAAAGTGCAACCTTCAAGATACTACGTAGATGTCCATCTTAGAGTCATTCAATGAAGTTTTTCTCTCATTTGCTTACTATGTCCATGTGTTCACTGAAAACATTGTGATTGAGCGAAAGAGAAGCGGTTACGTGTACGCGTTTATGTCTACGGATACCTGTCATTGATTTTCATTGACAGTAACCACCCACCTTGATTGGGGAAAAGGATATGGTCGTGGACTATGCACATCATAATAACGTCCTTCCTACATCTCCACTGGAGCTCATTATGACGCTTCAATTACGTTGTGCTGCTCATTGATGACGTTTTTGAGACGTCCTTTTGTGTTTTTCTTACAATAAACGACAACTCGAGTGCTTCTTTGTCGTAGGCTTTTAGCTAAGATGAAACTTGCTTGCCAGCAGTTGTTACAAAGATATTTTTTTTATACAAGAAACCGTGTTTGAGCCTCATTTCCGCTAAATGGATGCTATTTTACTGGATAGAAAGTACTGTCGATGCATCCTCCTGAACGCCTAATGATTATTTTTTGAGCCCTGCATGTGGTCTGTCTTAGAAAAACTTATAGAACCGATATACGTGTTTTCGGCCTTAACAGTTTCGTCACTCGGACATACCATTTGTCTTTAGCCAATGCTCTCGCGTGGAACCCAGCCCCTAGATAGAGTTAGCACAGACGAATTTTTTACACATGCCACTATAGCAAACCACATACATTGCTCTAAAAATGATTCTCAGGCACATTGGAAATTTAGCGTGGTCTAAGATAACACTTGAAGAAGGGCATGTCATTTTTAACGATACCAGCCAAAAGCTAAATCGAGGGTAAAACACTGTCTATCCAGTGATATTTCCACTTAACGGCATGGGTTTGAAATATTTAACGATATCAGTCAAGAGCAATCGAGTGCAAAACACTGTCCATTCAGTGATATTCTCACTTAATGACTTGTGTAAAAATGTCGTCTGCGTCAACTCCATATAGGGCTTAGGTTCTCCCGAGAGGACTTACTAAAAACGAAGAGTACTGTCCCACTGACGAAGCTGCCAAGGCCGAAACACATATATCGGGCTCTATAAGTGCCCATAACAGACCACATGCATGGCCCAAAAAGTGATTATCAAGCATAATGAAAGTTGAGAATGGCCTCAAGAAAATACACGAATACGAAAAAGATGCATCTTCCTCTTGACCGTAGTTTAAAGTGGTGCGAAAGTGCCACTGGATTAACTGTCATTTGAAATCCAATGTTTGTTAGGATATTCATTGTCATATCACTCAGCGTTGTTATAGTCGCCGCTTTCCTACTCGATTCCGTCGGGTTCTCGCTCTTGAAGCACAGGACCCCTAAGCCATCTTCCATATTTCCATATGTCCAGATACATTATAACTTTGAGAAAAATTTGAATGTGGTTATGTCTAATGAACTCCAAAATGTATATCCTCAGAATGGTATATCTCCTTTTCTGGCTTTTCTCTAGTCAGCAAAAACAACCGAGTGTACTCGGAAAACATGCATTGTTCATTATGTGAAACACACAATGCCTAGTAAATCAGCTGTTTTTCCATATCCGACTTATATCGACCGAAATTGTCGCCTGAATGACGTCCTACCTCATAAACACCAGGACTTACCTAAGGTATCTCTCAAAACGTTTGCAAATATTGCTATCGATGTGGTTGGTCATCGATAAAAAAACCCTATAAGACGTCTTCTACGGTTCTGCCACGCTCTCAACCCCTGAAATCGTTTAGCTATCGGAAAATTCTTGTCAGATGTCTAAAACGAGCTTTGCTCATTAATTATTGTGTTCTATTCGCTTGTGAATTGTACTGTTTGTGCAGCCGACACAAATATAAGCGTCGACAGTTAAGCAAATTTGAGCATTGGGCTCTATGTTGAGTAAAACCTTGTACTCTCGAGTATTTATCTTTGTAAGTCCCTTCCGTTCTTCTCTCATATGGTGACAATTGGAAGTGCAGGAGGCGGGTTTGTCAGTGGTGGTCTTACGAAATAACTATTAGTTCACCTATTATCCACCTTCGTTGTTTTCGTCACATTTTCTTATCACTATTATTGACAAGCTTATAACCACTTGAAAGTGAAGTCATTGTTATGAGATTAACATTAAAGACTATATCAATTATCTGCTCCGCTTCATAAGATTGACAGATGCGTACTTCTTTATTTCTATCTCTATTCTTGATTATGATAAATCTCGTTGTGTCACTTGTTCCCATAGCAATCATTTCCACACCATATCTCTATTGCTTTATTTTAGCAATTTAACTATCTTCACGTGACGAACGGATGTGAAAATTTCTTCGATTTTGTTACTCATATCGCTTCCGTCATCCATTAACTTCATCGGACATCTGTGTAGGTTCGGTTGCTACTTGAGAACTCCATATTTCCCCTGAATGTGATTGAAAGCTGTTCGGCTTGATTCTTTCTTGACCAGAGAAAACTACAATAGAGAGTTCGCAGGTGTTCATTACGTTATCAGTTACATGACCTTGCAGATCGGGAAAAGTTTTCCCCTAATCACGTTCGGTGCGGATTTTCCGATCCCGTAAAGACAAGGGGCTTGATTAGTCAGTATAACCCATATCTCGATAACGTGTTGTAATACGAGAGCAATGCTTGAGAAACATTAGTATCGCAAGGAGTATCACGTAAATTTTGAGAAGATGAAAGAACACATTGGCAAAATACCACAAAATCAGCACCACAGGCCCTCTTTCTTGAAAAACAAATTTTTCACCACGTTTTTTGTAAACTGACTTGTCTGAAAATAATTTTTGAGTCATGCATTTGGTCTGTTATGGGCACTTTCACAGTGCAATAAGCGTCTTTTGGCCTTGCAGCCTTGTCAGCTGCACAGTGCCTTTCATCTGAGCCAAGCCCTCTTGATGAGAACCCCCTTACATAGGGGAACCGCAACCATAATATTTACAGGCGCCGTGAACTGATAAAATCACCTGAAGGTCAGTGTTGTTCACTCAATTGCTCTTGGCTGGTAATCGTTAAATATTATACCATTCGTTTAGAGTGTTTAAAGCTGCTCATTTGTTGATATTTATCACTTGATGGCGCGTGTAACATGACGTCAGCGGTTCCTTCATGTAAGGAGGTTGTCACCGGAGAGGGATCGGCTTAGAAGAAAGACACCGTGCAAGTGACGAGGATGCAAAGCCGAAACACGTGTATTGCACTGTAGAAGTGTGCATAACAGGCTACATCTTGGCTCTGAAATAGTTATGAGGCATATTGAATTTGAACGTGGTCTCAATAAAACACTCGAACTGAATGGTATGGCGCTTTTTTCAATTATTTTTCACATCGAGTTTGTACCCTTCTCGTACTTTATACGGTCATTTACATGAAGCTAAAATTCTTTTGATATCAGAATTTCACCAATTTAAAACAATTTCTGAATCGTATGAACTAAGTAGGATGTGGCCTCATCATATTTACATAGAATTTTTGACTTGTAATTGTTTTAGTAAATGCTTACATTAAGATTTGCATAGCTTATCGATCGTTAAAGCAACTTGATCGAAGCGTTCGATATGCGAAATTCATTGGCTTGTTTGATAGGTTGGGGAAAAAGTTTTGAGAAAATACTTGTGAAACGTTTATTTATGCACCTATTATACCCGAACAAGGATAAAACTAGTAGTCAAAGTACTCCCTTCCAACTAAGCACTTCCTGCCTCTTCTCCGGCAAAAGATCGATTCCGCGAGCATAGACTTCCGATTTCTTGCTGTTGAAGAAATGAATGACCAAATTGTGCAATTCAATATCGGTACCGAACTTTTTGTCGCCCAACCAGTGCTCCATTGAGCGAAACAAATGATAGTCGCTTGGAGCCAAATCCGGACTGTATGGAGGGTGTTCAAGAACGGTCCAAAAAGCATCGCTCAACAATTTCCTTGTCAGTTTTGCAGTGTGAGACCAGATTGATGCGTTCACTTGCCACCGTTGCATTTGAACTCAACAGCCATTCGTGCATCATCAACAACCTAATTTGCTCTTATAAACTCCATCTAGAAATAAGTAGATAGATTATAAAGTAATCAACGCAGGAGAAGACGGGCTTTCAAATGAGCCCAAAAAAACAAAAAATGGCCGATATTCAAAAAAATTACAAGCATTTTCTCAGAACTTTTTCTCCAACCTATTATTATGGCTAGGCGACAGTTTTCAATACTTAGATTTGTGGAGAATAGTAGTATCGTGTGAAATTGGTTTGGAATTGTAATTGTTTTTTTGAGTATGAGAGTGTTCTCGCTATCTCCGTTGAAAAATTGTCTATGAAACTATAAGATTATTGCTAGGAGAG